ATCACGTGGCCTCGGTTCCGACTCATTCCCCGGAGCAATCCACTCCGGCTCGTCAGGATCGGTGATCGAGCGGAGGAGACCGGCGTCCACCAATGACTGCAGCTTCTCCACGGTGACGTCAGACCGCTCCCAAGGATCCACCAGGAGAATGACAGGACCGCCAGCCATTGCGCGGTGGAGGACGCTGCTACGGCGGTAAATCTCTCTCTCTCTCTCTTTCAATCGATCTCTCTCGCCTTTCTTCTCTCGGCGCTTTATGCTCTCAGCAACGGCTTGGAGGCGGCGAAAGCAAACGCAGGCAAGGTAAGGAGGGGAGGGGCGAGGCTCTTTACGTATTTATGCAGGGGTAAGACGAAATCGCTGGGCGACGAAATCGGGGAAGTTTCCCTCAGATCCGGCGCATATAATCTAGATCTGATCTCTCCGCCCATGCACCCACCTTCTCCACATTTAATCGCGTAGATGGTTATGTCCCATCCACTGACACCACATTGCGCAGCAACGGTAGCTCCCAAGAAGACCGCCTCAAAAGGCGCGCTGTTGTCAGCCGATGGAAGGGAAATACCCCCAGCCGATTCCTTCTGAGCTAAGGAACCGGGCGCCGAGCCCGCTACGGTCTAGAGGTTCAAAGGCTGGGCCATTTATGGTCTCGACAGCCGCCTCAGGACGACAGAGTCAGAGACAACTATGGGCGAGCCCGCACATGCCCGAGGCCCAGGCAAGCGATTGCTTGGGATGCCCTAAGTCATGTCCGAGACCAGCAGGAGTTCTCTAAAGGGGATCCCACCATAGGGAGGCACCGAGCCCCTAGGGCCAATCGAACGGCCCTGACACCCGCTAGAGAAGCCTTCTGGTACTTTTTTGGAGCGCGTCTCTGGACCACTAGCCGACCCCTATCGAATGGGGCACGGGCCTCCACTCGGACTTACCCGATAAAAGCTCACTTTGAAATGTCACCGCTCGCGCCCACCAAGGGTAGCTCGGCATGTTCCACCCCTCCTTCCGAGCGAAAAGGATGCGCGAGGGTCGTACAAAAGCCGGGGAACTCCCCGATCGCCTCTCTCGCTCCGCTGGAGGCTCGGGGCTCTTCCTGCAACCTTGCCGAGACCCAATGAACTAGGCTCGCACGCGAAGGGCTCGGCAAACAACCCCTCCTTCCGAGCGAAAAAAGATGTGCGAGGGTCGTACAAAAGCCGGGGAACTCATGATCGCCTCTCGCTACGCGTCACGGAGGCTCGGGGCTCTTCCTGCGCAACCTTGCCGAGACCCGGCCGAACTAGGCTCGCACGCGAAGGGCTCGCAAACAACCCCTCCTTCCGAGCGAAAAGGATGCGTGAGGGTCGTACAAAAAGCTAGGGGAACTCCTGATCGCCCTCTCGCTACGTGCGGAGGCTCGGGGCTCTTCCTGCAACCTTGCCGAGACCCAGCGGCCTAGGCTCGCACGCCAAAGGGCTCGGCAAACAACCCCTCCTTCCGAAAGCGAAAAGGATGCGCGAGGGTCGTATAAAAAGCCGGGGAACTCCTGATCGCCCTCTCGCTACGTCAAGTGGAGGCTCGGGGCTCTTCCTACAACCTCTCACACCCCGAGGGTCGGAAAACGCGACGAAAAAAGGGCACCAAGCCCATTACGATCCAGGGTACAATTGGGCCATCCAGGGGCCTCGGCAAATTCCCAGTGACAACAGAGTCGGGGACAACTATGGGCGAGCCCAGACACGGCCGAGGCCTGAACAAGCGATTGCTTGGGATGCCCTAAGTCGTGTCCGAGACCAGAGGGGAGTTCTCTAAAGGGGATCCCACCGTGAGGGAGGCACCGAGCCCCTAGGGGCCAATCGAACGGCCCCAGCACCCGCTAGAGAAGCCTTCGGTACTTTTTTTGAGCGCGTCTCGACCACTAGCCGACCCCTATCGAATGGGGCACGGGCCTCCACTGGACTTACCCGATAAAAGCTCACCGGAAATGTCACCGCTCGCTACCACCGAGGGTAGCCTGGCATGTTCCACCCTCCTTCCGAACGAAAAGGATGCGCGAGGGTCGTTACAAAAGCCGGGGAACTCCCCGATCGCCCTCTCGCGTCACGCAAGGAGGGCTCGGGGCTCTTCCCGCGCAACCTTGCTGAGACCTAGCGGCCTAGGCTCGCACACGAAGGGCTCGGCAAACAACCCCTCCCTCCAAACGAAAAGGATGCGCGAGGGTCGTACAAAAAGCCAAGGGAACTCCTGATCGCCCTCTCGCTACGTGTGGAGGCTCGAGGGGTCTTCCTGCGCAACCTTGCCGAGACCCAGCGGCCTAGGCTCGCACACGAAGGGCTCGGCAAACAACCCTCCTTCCAAACGAAAAGGATGCGCGAGGGTCGTACAAAAAGCTAGGGGAACTCCTGATCGCCCTCTCGCTACGTGTGGAGGCTCGGGGGCTCTTCCTGCAACCTTGCCGAGACCCAGCAGCCTAGGCTCGCACACGAAGGGCTCGACAAACAACCCCTCCTTCTGAACGAAAAGGATGCGCGAGGGTCATACAAAAAGCCGGGGAACTCCCCGATCGCCCTCTCGCTACGTCACGGAGGCTCGGGGCTCTTCCCGCAACCTTGCCGAGACCCAGTGGCCTAGGCTCGCATACACGAAGGGCTCGGCAAACAACCCTCCTTCCAAACAAAAAGGATGCGCGAGGGTCGCATAAAAAAGCCAGAGAACTCCCCGACCGCCTCTCTCGCTCCGTGTGGAGGCTCGGGGCTCTTCCTGCAAACCTTGCCGAGACCCAGCGACCCAGGATCGCACGCGAGGGCTCGACAGGCTCGGGGGCTCCTCCTGCACCCCAAGCGAAAACAAGCGACCCAAGCTCGCTCTCATGGGTCTAGCGAATGCGATAGAGCGCCTTACTCAACGAAGAAAAAGCCCCTAAAGGAGTAAACTCACTCTCTAAGGCCTCGGGGAAGACACACGGTGGAGTGCCACAAGACCCACCAGAATCATGAGTATAAAACAAACCCGACAAGAGCCACCGAGAAACAAAAGTCTCGAAAAAACCTCGGGAGAGTATCCCACACTCCCCTGGAGGCTCGGGGGCTCTTGTCGGATAGCGTAAAATGGGGTACCCCAAGCAAAGATCGAAAAAATGCTTAGACCCTAAGAATGAACCAATGGAATAAACAAAGCGAGGTCTCGGCCGAAATCTCCGATTCGCCGAGACCCCGTCGCCGAAACCACAAAGGAAAGCGAACGATTCTCCGACTCGCCCGAGACCGCCTCGCCGAGGCCCCCTCACCCGGGGCCTCGGAAGAAGTGCCGATTCTCCGATTCGCGTGAGGCCGGCTCGGCACCAGCCCCATGACCGCCTCTTCGACCAAACTGCTCTGACCGAAAGTCGCATCCAAGCGCCCAACCACTCCGACAGACGCCTTTACGATGGCACAATACAACGGTGACCGACTACACGCCATCGCGTCAACCTCCGCCATCTGCGGCGACCGCAGGCGTAGCGGGTTACCGATCATCGTGTCGCTTAACTCCCGCGCCAAGGACATCGCAACGTGGGGAGTCGAACGGTTCTCAGAGCCTCGGAATCGGCGGACCGACCGCTCCGGCTCGCCGAGCCCCTCGACAGGCCTCGGATTCACCGATCTTACTCCGCCTTCGCCCGTCGCCTCGCCCGAGACCCCGGAAGGGTCTCGGACGACCATGGCGCCTTCGCCTCGCTTCGAGGCCGGGCTCGTCCCCACAACCTCGTCGCCTCCGCCTCAAAAGTCTCTCTCGCAGTCATCACATCCGACATCGCGCCACCGCCGCTTTTACACGTAAGCCACGATCGGCGGTCTGGCATACCGCAATGTGCGACGGGACAACGGTCGATCACCTTTTTACCATCCCTTCATCGACAATACAGTACAGATCCTATAGGCGCATCGTCTCGCACTATTCCGCTTGACGGCCACCGAGACCCAGATCGCACTGGTCACTTCTCAGGGCCTCGGACGGCGAGCCTCCTCGGCGCCTTGAACAGCCTCGCAAGACGACGGCCACGGCTATGATGGCGTAGAGCCTCTGCAATCCACCAAGTCAACAAATGCACAACATGTTACTTGCGGTGGAGACCATACCGATTAGACATCTACGGAACTCCCACGACAACGCCATGTCTTTGCTCCGAGAGTAAATCGTCATCAAATAGTCCGCTCCACATGTAGCTCTCTTATGTACTCCTGGTTTCCTCCTGCGGCTATAAAAGGAGGCGGCCAGACCATTTCTAGGGACGGCGGATAGAGTCACGAACACTCGCATTTAACAACACGCCAGATTCTCAGAATTCATATCACCTCCCTCACAGAGACTTGGGACGAACTCTCTCTCTCGCCTAGCTTGTAACCCCCTACTACGAGCACCCCGGTGCAAGGAATACAAGAACATCTTCTTAGACTGGACGTAGTGCATCCATTGCCCGAACCAGTATAAACCTTGTGTCTTTTTACATCACCATCCAGAATTGGGAGCACGCAGCACAAATTCACTAGTCGGTTAAGGACCCCCGGTTCCGAAACACCGACATATACGATTGTAAATTTCCAGTCGGAACATTATTTTTCTCTCACGTAAACCAGCTAGCAGTACTTCTTCACAAACCAGTAATGATACGAACCAGCCAATCGACCATGCCGTGGAGAGCTGGACGAACAGACAGGAGGAGGGTCATTTGGAGTAGCGTCGCGGCCCTCGAATACCTAAGTATAAATACTTATATCAGGTACGCATAAATCTTGGAATCAGCATATTGTTCCGTAAAATCTAAGTACTTAACATGCCAGATTTTTAAATTAGGATAAGATGCTCTGTTGCCATGCCATTCAGTTCCTTCCAGCAAACAACTTGTTAAATCAAAACCAAAGGTTAAGATATATAGGAGCTGTGCATCTTTGCAACCGCACATTATCCTTGTTGATGACATCCTAATCCTACTGAGCACACCCACCTCGCCACCACAGTCCACGAGCACAAATTGAAATGCTGGAATGTTAGCCGCGAGGACCCCCGCCCGCGTCGTCGCCGGCGGCCAGCGGGGGCGATGCGTCGGGGGCAGCGAAAGGAGGCGCGGTCGCGCGCCGTGCCGCCAGTTCACGCAGGCGCTCGAGAGCCTCTGGAGTCGCAGCCCCCGGATCCCTCCTCCTGCCCCTCCCGCTGCCGAGGCCAAACCCTCGCGGCAGCCGCCACTACTGGAGAACGCTGCCTTCGAAGAGTACTATAAGGTGTGGTGCCCATTTCGATTTCAGATAGCTTCTTTCCTATCTATCGCATTGGCACGATTTGAATTGAATCAAGCTGCAGTGTCTGGGGTGACAGCTTGTTTGTTGAGATTGGAACGATTTGTTGCTGCAGTAATGATAAATGTGTTCATATATGAACAGTATTTCTGTATCATAGGTCTGAGGTTTAACTGATTACCACTATGTACTCTTGTGCTAGGTGAGTTTAGTCTTCATATTTAGAGTTACGTAGAAAATGACATGGTTTCAGGATCCTGCTCTTCTGGATGTGTGTCAGTGTGTGTGATCGCACCTGCATATTTGTTTGGGCAGGTTCAGCAAATTGTCCGCAAGGAGGAGTGGGATGCCTTCATGAATGTCCTGCGGAAACCGTTGCCAGCGACCTTTCAGATCAATGCCTGGTAATGCTGGTCACTCTGAAGTGAAATCATGAATTGCCACTGAGGTCTTCATTTAGTTATCCAATTCCTTGGCTTGAGTAACTCCACATGGACCACTGTCATCAACGGTTCATGTTCTCTTGGACGTGATGCCCATCTCTCCTTCTCGTTCTGCACCCAAAGCCTTTGGTTATCAAAGGCTGGCTGCTCCATGACTTGGATATCTGGTTAATCTGCCATTCAAGTAGTCATGTGCAAGGGTTGTATTAGATAGTTTATTTGCAATCTGCGCTTTATGGTAGTCCAGTAAGGAACCTGTACTTCAGAATTGCCTTAGGAATGCGTGTAAACCATCCAATTAATTGTCACTTATTATAAGACTCATGTAGTTTCAGGGTAGCTTCAAGTGTGCCATTTAGCAAACCTTTCATTGTAGTTACTGCAAAAGTTTATTCCATTAAGCAATATCATGTTATTCTCACAAAGGCTAAATTTACTTTTGCGTATTTGATACATGAACACAATAATTCATCTTTTACTAGTGCTTACCATGTAAGCTGAAGGTTTACATTTCTACTTTCCTTTTCAGTTGCCAGTTTTATAAAGATATCTGCTCAAAGTTGGAAAATGAATTTAGGCGATCTTTGGAGAGTGAGGTAGCCTTTTCTATGTCGTCTATGAATTTCTCCTTACTCAATCCTTGACATTTTCTAATTTACAATTAAAAAACTCACTGCAAAGGTCAGTAATGAGCATGGAGAAGATGCTATAACTTCCTTGCCTTGGTATCCATGCAATCTTGCATGGCATCTGAATTTCTCTCGGAAGGAATTGAGGAAAAATCAGGCACTCGAAAGGTAATTAATTGCAGCATGATGCTTATGTCTTGCCATGACCTGAATCTTGCTTGGTTTATGTAGTGTAAATACGGGACACTCTTGGCTTTGCACTAGTGATTATATGGTAGGGATTTGGGGTGGGGTGGAGATGTCTGAGATGGTCTTGAAGTGGGCTTCAAACTGAGTTGTATTGGGTCAGAAGAATCAGGATATCCAATAAACATCAGATACTGGTACTGCAGATTGGTAGAGCATCAGGTTAACCTAGGGAATATTTGTTCCACAATTATGTTATTAAAATTTATCTAATTTCAGGAACATTGGCTTATGTAGAATTGGTTTTTATGAGCAATCAGTTTTCCCAAAAGCTTAAATTGTTATGGGGAAGTTGGCTATATATTTCTTTCACTTTCAAACTATTATTATTCTGAACAATTAATTTCTGTTTCTACCTTGATGTGCTATCGATTAATCTATGAGTATTCTATTGATCCACTCTTCTTTTCCAGTTTTCATGAGTTTCTAAAGCATGAGTGAGGTTGGTAACATAACTAGGCAAGAGGCTGTTAGCATGGTGGGCATCCTGTAACAATTTGTTGATAAATATTGTCATATCTGTTAACTTGTATTTTAGTTGTTTTTTCGATTCTGTTAGACGAAGTCTTGTTTCATTAACTGAAATTTATTTCTACAGGTTCCGCCACTGTTTCTGAATGTACAACCAGATCACCATATTCTTGATAGTATGTCCCTGTTTAATTCTTCTCTGTTATCTTAAATATCCTGTGCTTCTCATACAAACCGACTGTGTCAATGGGTATTCTTTCATTTTGATTAGATGACAAAATACTCCAATAGTATAGCCTCACATGTATCTGCGTATCTTGTGCAGTGTGTTCTGCTCCGGGATCTAAAACTTTTCAGTTACTTGAGATGATTCACCAATCAAAAGAACCAGGGCTACTTCCAGGAGCATTGGTATGTTTCTCCCTCAGTTTCATGTGGCACTAAAACTATTGCTCTTATAATTCTTGATGATTTTTGGAGTCATATTAGTTGTTAGTATTTAGTTTTGTTACATGTAGTTAGTAGAACTAGTTGTGTTATAATTTCCAAAGACTTATGAGAAATGAATAGTTTAGTTATATTGGTATGGCCCAGGACCAACTTGACCTAGTAAGCAGCTCAGTCAGGCCTACTGTATTGTTATGGGGTCAATGCTAACTTGTGTACTGTAGGCTGTGGCGCCGGCATGGTAAGAACTAAGAAGGATCTAGAGCCTAGATGACTAGGAGGTCTATCTCCTGTACTACCTCTGTCCCTAAGTCATAGGCCCCTATATATAGAGGCCCAATGTACCCTTGCAACTTAAGGAGAAGTAGATCAAAGGCTTAGCCCATCTCTTCCGCCCCTGTCTTGGGCGTCGGCCTACTGGTCACTGTTCCTACCCTCTCACTTCTCCCCAAATCCCCCCTCCCTAATTTGGGGTAATCTAAGTACTAACATATATATTCTCCCTTCTTGTGAGACTGATTAGGTGATAGCCAATGATCTCAATGTGCGAAGATGTGACCTCCTTATCCATAATACAAAGAGAATGTGCACCGCCAACCTAATAGTAACAAACCATGAAGCAGAAAACTTCCCCTATTGTTCTCTTGCAAAGGATTCTTTAGAATCATATAAAGATCCCTGCGAACTACAAAGGTTAGAATTCGACCGCATACTTTGTGATGTTCCCTGTAGTGGTGATGGGACTATTCGCAAGGGTCAGGACATGTGGAGAAAGTGGTAATAACTGAATCTTTGTTTTGTCTGCTGCTTTATGCTTCCCTGTATGTATCCTCAGGTCGCAATCTGTTATTGTTGTTCAGGAACTCAGGCATGGGTAACCAACTTCACCTTCTGCAAGTAAATATTGCAATGCGTGGTATGGATCTGTTAATATTGATTTGACACTTTGTTGGGGGTGATTCTTCTTTCTAATTGAGTAATCATAGTATACCATGAGTTTTTAAACATACCTACCTGGGAATTTCGTCGGAGTTCTACTGCATAATATATCACAGTTTGAGAGCAAAATATATCATTTGAAGCTTTAAGGTTAACAGTATGTAATATCACAGTTTTATTTTATTTCTTAAGGTATTGCATTACTTAAAGTGGGTGGAAGGATGGTCTATTCGACTTGTTCAATGAATCCTGTTGAAAATGAAGCTGTCACAGCTGAGGTATCTACTGTAGTTTCTTACCTTTAGCTGTTGAACATAAAGCTGTTAATTTCTTGCGACTTCTAGCCTAGATATGAGCAAAATCTCTGCGCGTTGAAGGCCTTCTGGAGTAGTTTAGTCACATAGTTTTGGGTGCTTTATTGGCTGGTCATTTAATAAGGCAATTAAGGTAGCTTATAGAATCCAAAATGATGTCTGGACAAATTCAATTTGTATGCCTTACAGGCTCATGCCACTGGATTTATGAGGCCGCTTAAGCACAAGCCCCAATCTGAACCGTCTCATCGGAACTCCGAAGATCTGTAGAGGAAATTCCAAAAAATTCATATGTTATTTGGGTTGGTGTAGTTTTTTAAACTTAAGTCCTTAACTATGAGTGATTACCTTTCCTTTAGGCTGCTGCATACAAATACCATTTGCTATTCATTTTTACAATCTGTTCACAATATGTGTGCTGTAACATGAATTAGCTTTGCAAGTTGTTCATGTATCTCATAATCATATAGCTCCTTCGAAGAAGTGGAAACTCTATTGAACTCCTTGATGTTTCTAGCGAGCTACCTGAATTGGTCCGGCGTCCTGGGCTTAGCACTTGGAAGGTTTGTGTGCTTATATCTATATCAAGGTTGATCCCTTGGTTACTTTCTTTTTTATGTGTTGTATCTAATAAGATTGCTCATTCTTAATTACAATTTTTACCCTGGTTTGTATGTGTCTCTGGAAGGGCAGGCCTGGTGCAGTGGTGAGAGCTGTCTCACTGAGTCACCAGGTCACGGGTTCGAAGCAGCCTCTCCGCAGATTTTGCGGGGGGAAGGCTTGCCTCGTTTTTTCCCTTCCCCAGACCCCACTCATGTGGGAGCCTCCGGCACTGGGTCTGCCCCTTTGTATGTGTCTCTGGATTCACGATTATGACACACAACATACTATACCAATGGCTTTACTTTCATTATGATTTTTTAGTTTACTAATAATCTTTTACATGGAGAAAATAAATTGAGCATGTCAGCACAGGTCTCATTTTTTTTTACTCTCTCAAAGTATAGATACTTATCACTTTTGACCACTTTATTTATCTTGTTCGTGATTCCTGAAATGTTTTCCCAAAATGCCCCTATATATTCTGTCTATACCATCTACTTTGGTTCCTCTTTTTTATACGGGTGATAACTAGGAGCATTTTGGTCCAATTGACATCACAATTATTTTAATTGGTTTATGTGTATTGGCTGAATTTGACAATTATTTGTAAGCAGAGGATCTATAGTTGTCTCTTTTTTTTGTAGAATTATGATTGTTTTTAGAATAAACCTTTTTTCCATCTCAGTGTTTTAGTCGAACAGTTAGTCCCTACTTGACAATGTACAATACATAATCAACAACAACAACAACAAAGCCTTTAAGTCCCAAACAAGTTGGGGTAGGCTAGAGTTGAAACCCAGCAGAAACAATCAAGGTTCAGGCACGTGAATAGCTGTTTTCCAAGCACTCCTATCTAATGCTAAGTCTTTGGGTATATTCCATCCTTTCAAGTCTCCTTTTATTGCCTCTACCCAAATCAACTTCGGTCTTCCTCTGCCTCTCTTCACGTTACTATCCTGGCTTAGGATTCCACTACGCACCGGTGCCTCTGGAGGTCTCCGTTGTACATGTCCAAACCATCTCAACCGGTGTTGGACAAGCTTTTCTTCAATTGGTGCTACCCCTAATCTATCACGTATATCATCGTTCCGAACTCGATCCCTTCTTGACCGCAAATCCAACGCAAATGTACAATACATAATCAAGGTGGCAAAAATCTTATCCTTCTATTCTGGTTATCCTAGCGGTTCCTTTTCTGACTCTTGCAGGTACAAGACCGAGAATCTTGGTTTCAGAGTCACGATGAAGTTCCACACAATAGGAAGAATGTAGTATTGCCAAGCATGTTTCCTGCAAGTAATAGCACTGAGGAAAGCCATACTGTGTGTGGTGATGTTGAAGTGAACATAGATAATATGAACAGCTTCTCAAGAAATATCAACATTGAAGAAACGGAAAAAGTTAATCATGATATGGATGGAGTTTCTATTAGTTCCAATAAAATTTTGGATTGCGCTTCAAACATTGTGAGTTCAAAATTTCCACTGCATCGGTGCATGAGGATTGTTCCTCATGACCAAAACAGTGGGGCATTTTTCATCGCAGTTCTTCATAAATTGTCTCCCTTGAATGGTAATCTCCGCTTTCTTTTTGATGATTCCACTCAATACCTTTCAAGAAAGTTTGCATTTAATCTTATATGCCTCCATGCATAAATAGTACTACCACTGTATGCTTGAATGCTCCGCGTTCTTTCAGGCAGTCATATAAAGGGCACAAAAATTCAGCACACACTTGGAACAGACAGGATTATGCAGTTTCAGAAAGAACCTGAGCCAGAAACAAGACCCTATGAAACTATTTTGACACTCCAACAGCACAACGTTTCTGAAGTTGATACTGAAATGCTGGGTAGGCGACAGAATTTAAGAACAGACAGCCAAACTTCAAAGGATAAGAACTCAACCGAGGTTGAAATGGGTTTCAGTGATGTAGAAAGCACTCAAGCAGAGTCAGGAGATAGAATGGAGTTGCAAAAGCAAAGCAGGTGGAAAGGGGTTGATCCTGTCTTATTTTTGAATGATGAAGCGGTGATAAAGAGTATAATATCCTTCTTTGGCATCAAGGAATCATTCCCACTCGAAGGTCATCTGGTGACTAGAAGTACTGATAACGCAAGGAGAATATATTACATATCAAAATCAGTTAAAGAGATTTGGAGCTGAATGCAGAAGTTGGTGGGCAGCTCAAGATGGCTTCACTTGGTGTTAAAATGTTTGTAAGTATAAAGTGCTCTAAACACACGGTGTTCCTTACTGATTCATGATTTCTTAGGAACATTGAACAGTGGAAGAACATACATATTTTACTCAAACTTTGAGGTACTCTGTTCTCTTTCAGGAAAGGCATAGATCAAAGGATGCCTGTCCATGTGCATATAGGTTGTCTTATGAGGGATTATCGCTACTGCTTCCATACATCAGCAAGAGGATACTATATGCATCCCCACCTGACTTCCACCGCCTTTTACAGTACCGAAGCATAAACTTCGCTCATTTTCTTGACACCAGATTTGGGGAGCAAGCTGCATCCTTGATGCCTGGTTGCTGTGTTGTAGTGTTACTCAAAGGTAACATTATGCCCTATCTGAAGGTAAAAGAAACAATGACTTCATAATCTAACTTTCTCTAGTATTTCAGGGCATAAGCATGTAGATTCCATTTCTAAGGATCCCTCCACAATTGCCATTGTTTGCTGGAGAGGGAAGGGGACTATGAACGTTATGGTTTCTCCCTTGGATAGGAAGGATCTTCTTGAAAGGATGGCGTATCGCTTTGGCCTTAAAGCCTGTGTAGAGGAAGATGAGAGATCTTGTCACAAGGTTAATTGATTATGATAACAACGTGGAGACTCAAGACTGGCAAAGTGAGGACAATCAGGAACCTCTAGCTTTCACGCCATGTGTAGGCCGTGTAAAATAGGCTGACGTAACACTGCAGCATGCTGTTGGCGGATGCTGACGTCCCACTGATTTTGTTTCTCAAGTTCTGTGCTATTCTTGCGTGTAAACAAGTCATTTCCGACACAGAAGGAAAAACTACTACAATATATACTTTTGAAATGTAACTTGGTCCGTTGAACTTGTGATTATGTCTTAATCTACTCAGATATACTTACCTAATCACAAATCACAAAAGGGGTAATTTCAGGTGGAGTTTTAAATGCACGAGCAGTTGTTGGGAAACTGAAAAAAAACATATGGCATATCAACATAGACGAGCAGTATGCTTCCGCCGTTGAAAATGCTAGTGTGAACCCCCAACGCACGCAGCCGTCAATTTTCAACAAGGCACGATGTTCTTGTGTTGGTTTCCGCCTCTCTCTGATCAGCTTTCACATGGAAATGGAAACGCTTGTTCGTCAACCTACTTCTCCCGCCCCTGACATCACACTGAACGGGACTTGCAGCAAGTTTCATGGAAAGAGAACGTGTACGTCAGATTGAGCGGCCCTGAATATTGTATGCTGATTCACATTTCCCTCCAAAGTAGTGGCACCAGGGTTTTGTCTTTGGTGTGACGAGATCAACACGTCGCTACATCGTCAGATCTCAGATGCCTTATGCGCAAAAAAAGAAAAGAAGCTCTCAGATGCCTGCAAAATTTGTGAAGAGCTATCTGATGATATTCTGAACAAGATTTGATTTTGTCGATCGTTTTTTTACGACGGATCCCTGAAAACACAGTGTTCTTTGACCATGGAGCACCCATCCTTTTCGAAACCCTGAAATATCTTTCTAGGACCAATCTTTGTCTTGGTGTCAATTCCAATCACATATGGCATCGCGTGTGCCAAGCAAACACTACTCCTAGGACGCGTCTAGTTTTCAGCCACATGTACCCCTAACTTACTTGGGAATCAATTCAAAACAGAACAATGGTGTCCAAATCAAGTCCTAACAAAAACAATGGTCAGAAATTATATCATCAGTGTTTGATCTGAACAACACTTTCTCAAAGCACAGCATGCAGGATCGGAGGCAGCAGCAGCAGCAGATGCTTGTCGCCACACCCACACTGATCGCCGTCGTGCTGGTCGTCTCGGCATGGCCGCCATCGGTATCGGCGGCCGCGCCACCACCAACACCATACGGCGGGAACGCCTCCTGCCAAAGGCGGTGCGGCGACCTGGAGATCCCGTACCCGTTCGGCATCGGGCGCGGCTGCTACCACTACACGGGCGAGGGCGACATCACCTTCGAACTCACCTGCAGGCGCACCGCCGGCGGCGGCTACCAGGCCTTCAGCGGCGAGTCCATCGAGGTCATCGACATCAACGTGCGCCTCGCCCAGGCGCGCGTCCGCAACGACATCCAGGCCTGGTGCTACGACCGCACGTCGCGGTCCATGGTGGGCGACACGAGCCGCTGGGGCCCGGACCTCTCCGACTCTCAGTTCCGGGTCTCCGACGAGGGCAGCCGCTTCGTCGTCGTGGGCTGCAACTCGCTGGCGTACGTGCAGTCCGTCAACACCGGCACCGTCTACATGACGGGATGCATGGCGACGTGCCCGGACGCCGGGACGCTGGTGAACGGCTCCTGTGACGGCATGGGCTGCTGCCAGGCGGCCATCCCCCGGGGTATCAACACCTACGCGGTGGAGTTCGACGACCGCTTCAACACCTCCGCCGTCATGGGCTTCAGCCCCTGCACCTACGCCGTGCTCATGGAGGCCGCCGCGTTCGACTTCCGGATCACCTACGTCACCACCAGGGACTTCATGACGTCCACCGGCGGCAAGGTGCCGGTGCTGCTGGACTGGGTAGTCGGTAGGGAGACGTGCCGGGAGGCGAAGCGGAACGCCACGGCGTACATGTGTGTCAGCGACGACAGCGAGTGCGTCGACTCCAGGAACGGCGGCGGCTACCTCTGCAACTGCTCCACAGGTTACCAAGGAAACCCCTACATCCCTGCCGGCTGCCAAGGTCTGTACTCTGTCCTGTTCGGCATGCTCATAAAAAAGATAAACTTTTGCTAGTTTTGACACGCAGACACACCAAAAGAAAAATACAAACTTTGATCTGATCTGCTGCTGCAGACATTAACGAGTGCGAGGAGGATCCTAACAAGTACCCTTGCTCTGTTCCTGGAACCTGCACCAACACTCCCGGAAGCTTCATCTGTTCTTGCCCCGACAAGACGACAGGCAACGCTTACAATGGCACATGCGAGGCAAAGAAATCTCAGCTCGGAGTGCGCGTCGCAGTTGGCGTTAGCGCAGGCTTGGTCATGCTAGTGGTCACCATGTCCTGCGCCTACATGATCCGCCAGAAGCGGAGCCTCGCCGCCGTGAAGCAGAGGTACTTCAAGCAGCACGGCGGCCTCCTGCTGTTCGAGGAGATGAGGTCGAAGCAAGGCCTGTCCTTCACGCTGTTCACCGAAGAGGAGCTGGAGGAGGCGACCGGCGGTTTCGATGAGCGCAACGTGCTGGGCAAGGGAGGCAGCGGCACCGTCTACAAGGGGTCTCTCAGGGACGGCAGGGCCGTGGCAATCAAGAAGTGCAAGCTGGTGAGCGAGAGGCAGGAGAAGGAGTTCGGGAAGGAGATGCTCATCCTGTCCCAGGTCAACCACCGGAACGTCGTCAGGCTCCACGGCTGCTGCCTCGAGGTGGAGGTCCCCATGCTCGTCTACGAGTTCGTCCCCAACGGCACGCTCTACCACCTCATCCATGGCGACCGCCGCCACGGCGGCTCACGCGTCTCCTTCGCGACGCGCCTCAAGATCGCGCACGAGGCCGCCGAGGCGCTCGCCTACCTCCACTCCTGGGCCTCGCCGCCGATCATCCACGGCGACGTCAAGTCGCCCAACATACTCATCGACGAGAGCTACGCCGCCAAGGTGTCCGACTTCGGGGCCTCGACGCTGGCGCCCACGGACGAGGCGCAGTTCGTCACGTTCGTGCAGGGCACCTACGGCTACCTGGACCCGGAGTACATGCAGACCTCCAAGCTGACGAGCAAGAGCGACGTGTACAGCTTCGGCGTCGTGCTCCTGGAGCTGCTCACGTGCAGGAAGGCCATGAACCTCCAGGCGCTTGACGACGAGGAGATCAACCTCTCGGCGCAATTCCTCCACGCCATGGGTGAGAAGAGGCTCGATGAGATACTGGACGAACAGATAAAAGGCGAGCAGAGCATGGAGCTGATCGAGCAGGTGGCGGAGCTGGCGAAGCAGTGCCTGGAGATGGCGAGCGAGAAGAGGCCCTCCATGCGGGAGGTTGCGGAAGAGCTCGACAGGGTTAGGAAGCTGTCGCAGCATCCCTGGGGGAGCCAAGAAGACACTTGTGATGCGGAGGAGCTCAAGGCCTTGCTTGTCGGATCACCAGGGACAGGGACGTCCTCTGAAATAGAACTTAGTATTAGTACTAATGCGTATGTTAGCATGACAGATTCAGCCTATTTAGGGATTCGATCTCCACGATGAGTATCTTTTTAGTTTCCTTAGAATCACTTGTTTTGTTTGTTCAATCTCCACGATAGCATCAATTATCCCCGGCCCCTAGAATCATTTATTTTCTTTGTTCACTGCTTCACTTAGTAATGGGTAACACTAAAAAGCTACTAGTAGTCTTTCTTTCTCCATCAATGTAAAAAAGATAATAATTTCCTTTATTCTGTTTTACTGATAGTGAAAATCCCATAATAATACCCCCTTTGTTCCAAATTATATTTCAGTTTGATTTTTTTGTAATTCAATCTTTCTAAAATATTGACTGAATTTTGCAGCAAGATGTACTTGTATTATTTTCAAATACCCAAAATCAACATAGAAAAAGTTATAATATAAGTTTGAACAAATAACTTAGAATAATCTCCAAAGATCACTTGTTTGTGATTTGAGCCCCCGCCCTCCCCTAAAAAAAATGCAATCCGCACCTCACGAGAAGTCATACAATTTTAATTCTGACCACTTCTATAAGAAAAAGTATTAATATTTTTTTATATCAAACAAGTATCATTGGATTGGTTATGAAGTATATTTTTATGGTAAATCTATTTGGAGATATAAATATTGATACTTTTTCTACATATGAAATAGATTAGTAAACTAAAATTGCATTATTTTGGGGGACGGAGGGAGCATTTTGTGCTTGTATAGAATTCTATGCAAACTCACACAAAAACGTGCCACTGATTAAGCATCGCCGGCTGTCCAAGTGTCACCGGGCTTTCCTCTTTCTTGGACTTCACTGGGCCTCATTCGGCTTCATGGAGACTTTTGGTTTAGAACATGTGGGATATGCACGTGTAGATGGAGTTGGACGAAACTGTTAAACCAATGTCAACCGTAACAGCGTGTAACCGCGGCGTACAGAAAAACCGTGGGCTCTCTTGTACGTAGATTGTAGAATGCGCAGCTCGTGTGGGCTGTGTTTGTTTGCTGCATCTCCTTGGCACTTGGTGGGCTAGCTTTTGCACGCAACCACAGTTGGCCAGTCTCAGTGTAGCTTTTCGGCCTTTTCTGCTAACAAAAGAGAGTGAGTGAGAGGCATGATGAGCGGTGGGATCGAAAGGGAACCTGGGAACGGCACGGCCATCTCCACCGTTCGAGATTTATGCTGTGGTTAAAAAAAAACCCGACGCTAGCTAGCTTAGGTTAATAGGGGCGTTCAGCCAAAACAAAATCCGGCATTGAGCACGTAGTACTGACAACAGAGTGAACTGACACCGTCGTCTGAACGAACATCTTCGTTGCAATTGCAAGCTACTAGAAAGTTACTACTTTCTATCTAGAGTCTAAAGACGTTACGGTCCACTGCTAAGCTGGCCGCGCCGTAGTTTAATGGTGGGTTTTGAGCGCAGTCAAAATCATATCACATCGCTTTGGGTTCTTTAATTTCCTGCCTCGTGTCGACGTCGTATTTTCTTCCTTAATTAGTCCAGCGCATGCGCTACGGCACACTAGTTTTTCTGCAAACCAAGCATCACATCATATCACACCAGCTATGTTATCACATTCACTTTTGAACCTTCCGACACTGTATATATAATATATAATAATAAATCGATCCGGCGGCTATATAGTCTCTTGCATTGGGGGCTTAGCTAAGACTTGCTTTGACTTCGTCCATGGACTTCCACCACACGTGCAGTGGGGATAAAAGTTGAAACAAAACTAATTACAAGACCTCGTTTTTCAAGGTTTTTTTCCATGTAATTTTAGGATAAATAGGAAACGAAATATAATCACACAGTTAACAAAATGATAAGAAAAATATAGAAGCAAATCAATTTTGTCATTTTGTGACATTCTTATCGTTTTCGAAATTTCCCATATTTTTACGAATAATCTTTTTCAGATGTTTTAACCTAGTTCTAATAGCATCGTTCTCTCTCTTTTTTTTCCAGAAAAACGGATTTTTCTTTTTACCTTGCTATAAGCTTATTTAGTTTGTCACACGCCCTACTTTGTGACAACTGAAAGTGATATGTTCAGATAATAGGGGGAATCTGTGGTCTTAGTCACCAACTATATCCCTAGGGAATTTCATGGCTTCTAGATTTAGAGAAAGTCATTAGGTTACATGGATAGGATGGTGATAGTAGTGAGGGTGTCACAGGCCACAAGCAGCAGAAAATAGCCAGACGTGTAGCGCTAAGATGGGTTCCCCGTATCTCAAAGGCTTCTTATATACTTTCGTATTGATACGGATAGAGATTTTGGTGAAGACTCCACTGTCAAATCTGGAGAGGAGGACGGACTAGGGAGTTTGCCTTGGCATCTTGATAAGGGTCTATTTGGTTGGTTGCTAGCTAATTAAAACTTGCTGCGCCACATTTTAGGCATGTGTGTTTGATTTCACATCATAAGTGCCATTTTCGGACTTTTCTCACCGATGTGTCTAGCATACAATTGACTAATTTGTTTTGTAAAGTTTTGTTCTAATTTAAACATGTATACCTTTGATCATTAATTTGAAAAAATATATAAATGTTAACAGCATAAGATTTATGTTTTTAGAATATTTACTATGACATATAATACAGACACGAATATATCTTATGGATTGGACAATGGAGCAAGAACAGGGATGGAGAGACGGACGCAGGAAGTCCGATCTGTCTGTTTATTTACAAGGGTGTCGGTTGGTGAAGCCACGGTGTTAGACTATATGAACTAGCAGTTGTACTTTACTATCAGAACTCTCCTAGCTAGTACACACACGTGACACGTCGGTCGGTTGGGCGAAGAATTTGTACACTGGCCATGCACAGATCTGCAGAGAACTTGTGCTTGCAACTATGAACTATCTATAGCTAGCTAGTATCTGCATCATCTAGCTCTTTCGATCGAGAGAGAGAGATAAAGGGAAAACAGGGAGAGAAGGTAACTATCTACAGCTAACTACTCGTCGTCGTAGCTGTCGTCGTCGTCATCCTCATCCATGTCGACCGTGAGCTCAGGGCCAAGATATGGCGCCCCGGCGACGGTGAAGCCCTCGGGCAGGTCCGTCTCTTCCAAGACAGCGAAACCCGGGAGAGACGGGACGGGGACGTTGGTGAAGTAAGTCGAGGGGCGTCCGTGGTCCTCCGAGTATGGCGGCGTGAGGACGTCGAGGATGGCGCAGGGCGTGACGGCGGTGAAGGCGTGCAGGTTGCCGCCGCTGCGCGGGAAGAGCACGGACGCCTGGCAGGGCGCGCGGCGCACCACGTCCGCGGCCACCACCCTGGCCAGGCCACATTTCCTCCTCGACGGCGACGGCGAAGGCGCGGCGACCCAGTCGTAGGAGCGCACGCGCACGGAGCCGTACAGCAGCTTGCTGAGGACCACCATCTCCGGGTGGTCGTGCAGCGGCAGCGTCGCGCCGGCCGGGAAGCAGAAGACGCCGATCTGAAAGCAGGCAACACGCCGGGACGGGATCAGTATTCAGTATTCAGTACAAGCACAACACAACCCAACCGACCACAAGCTCGATCCGCCGCGCGGCTACACAGCAGCCCCTGCTTACCGAGAAATCGTCGCACTGGTGTATGTGCACGTAGGTGATCTGCGTGAACGCCGGCGCCGGCAGGAGGCGGCTGCCGCTCTTGGGGCTCAGCTCGTCGTCGGACGAGGACGACGTCGGCTTCTCCCCGTCGTCGATCCCGACGTCGGCTGCCTCCATGCCATCTGAACCAAAGGAAAACATTTATGAGTCGTCTTCATTCACCAGCCGGCGAACACCAGGACGCATGCAGAAAGAAGAAATGAAGCCGAAGCAAGGCATAGGCACGACAGAAGTAGTGAACTGACCAAGGATGTTCTGCAGCCATCTGATCTCCCCGACCGTGGGCGCCGCCGCCGGCGAGGAGAAGACGACGTCGCAGGCGTCGTAGAGCCGCTGCACCTTGCTCAGCGCCATGATGTGCGGCGGGAACGCCACGGCCATGGTGAGTGAGTGAGTCCCTGCAGGTCGTCGTGTCGATCGCGCCCTGGAGTCTGGAAAGTGGAAATTGGGGGCTGCGTCGCACTGCTGGATCGGGCCCGGATTATAAAGCTTTGGCGTGGCATCGCGTGCGTACGTGGTGCGCCGTGGGTGGTCTGGATGCACATTCTGGCATTCCGCGACCGCCCGAACCCCAAACGGCCAAACCGTGGGCCTCGCCTGCTTTTTCCAGGGGCCCGGGCAACCCAAGTTTGCGGCCGTTCCAGCCAGCCAGGCAACCCAACCCCCGTGCACGGCGTGTTTGGATCGAGCCCTCGCAGGCAGATGCCTGCCAGGCAGCTCATCTTGTCTCCAGACGTGGGAAATCAGACGCCTGGGATTGACGCGCGCTCCAGGCAAGTCTGACCAGTCTGAAACCAAACAAGCCCGCTGCTGTTTCCGATGGACGGCGCTGCCTGCGTTCGCTCGCCCCCCTTTTTTCCCTTCCTTACAGTAATTAACTTAGTAAATAAAACAAGTTGCTGCACGGAACTTGTGGCCTGTGTTTGGTCGCTTGGGATCTCGACAGCGTCCTTATTGGGGTTCGGGTTTTGTACATGTAGCCGTAGTAGCGCCCACTTGATATTTGATACTGCCTTGTTTTATTCTGTTTCCGGAATGGTTTAATGCTACTAGCCTAGTAGTACCACCGTGTTAGCAAAGTTTTATGCATGTACGTACTACTTAGTAGTATTGTTGACATAAACCAAATCTTACATTGCTATCTCTCCTGTACTGTTTGGGTCACGCTAATAAGTTACTATCTCTCGCGTAAAAGAGTTATACAACCTAGGCTACAATCCTATGAACTAGCCTATCAAATTAATCTAGTAAGGTAAAGCACACGATCCAAAGTACATAAAATAAACACGGAAGCTTAAGGGTGGTAGAGTGCAAACTCACATCGACGACTCTTGTATTTTTACCTAGGTATCAAGAGGCTCCTCGCTTCCACTTAGTCCTCGTTGGAGCCCCTCACAAGGATGCCCTCGCAAGGGCCAAGCTCCTGGTCAAGTAACTCCATGGATCACCCTTGGGCCTTTCCCATGCGCAAGCGGGTCTCCAAGATGGCCTCTCCATGAACCACTCCCCGCCATTTTCACTATCAAATTTCTGGACAAAATGTCATGGGCATTGTTCCCTTCTATATATACACGATGACGGCCACATCACAAACGTGGTTGGTGTAAGTCTCTCAGGACTATAGGCCCCTTCAAGCATAACAATGGTGCATGCAACACCGAGTAAGCAAGATGTATGCAAACCTCACTAACACTAGGCCTAAACCAAGAGCAAGCGCTTTTAGCCATGGTCTAACTAGCCTAAGCACTTCGCAAAGCACCTACACTAATCACTGAGTGATTCTTTAAGCACTATGTGTGGCATGAGCCACTAATCTTTCTTTGTTCCTCACTATAATGCCATCTTCATTTTGCTTATTTCTAAATACCCATTTGGTATTAATGACATTGTAGTTCTTTCGCCTCTCAACTAGCTCCCAAACTTGATTTCTTATGAAATTGTTGAGCTCTTCATGCATAGCATTGACCCAATCAACATTCTTCAAAGCTTCATCGATCTTAGTTGGTTCACTGGGAGACACAAATGAATAGTGCTCACAAAAGGATACAAGCCTTGATCTTGTTTGAACACCACTTCTTAAATCACCAACAATTTGATCCAATAGATGGTCCATTGCAATTGCTGGATGGATATCCGGTTGGACAATTTGCACTTGATTGCTTGAGCTTGGTGATAACTTGGTTGAATCGCTTGAGTTGGACTAGCCACTTGTTGATCTTGTGCTTGCTGAACTTGATCTTAATCATGAGAACCGCTAGTGCTAGGTTGATCATGATTTTAGAGTCATGTGTTACTTTATGTTATATTTAGAAAATAGAATAGGTACAATAGCTATATTATAAATGGTGATGAAGTTATTATTATATCAAACTGATGGTAAAATGTTTCAAATTTTTGTGAAATTTCTAAGATTTACCTTTTGTTTTTCTTATCTTGTCTCATGAGGATTAATGTGGATGCTCCATTAGGCAGCTTTAGTTAGAACGTCTAGTATTTATATACAAACTCTTGCTGCATCTTTTTTTTGACTTCATGAATCTATAGCTTACCTTTTAACTTTGGGGGAATTGCTTGAATGCCATTAAAAAAGATCGCAATGCCTTGTGTGCTTCTGAAAAAAGTTTAACGGTCTTCAGCGTCACTGCTCCAACTTTTTTGTGCCCTCCATGCCACTGTCGTCAGTTTGGGCTCTAACGCCGTCAAATTGCAGGTGTGAAAAGTCGAAAATACCCTTATGCCTAAATATGTCATTAATTTTTTTGAGCATCTTAACGACTTCAAATGAAAAAACTCAAAACTAGAAAGTTGTAGATCTCGTCGAGATCTATAATTTCATATAAAAATTATTTTCATTTAATTCCGCAAAAAAATATGATTTGATATGATTAATATATCTTAGAAAAATCATGGTTTGACATTTTTCTATAACATAACAAATAGCCTGGGCAGTCCCGTCACCTCTCATTACTCCTATGTAAATCTGGAGCAAAACCTTTTGCTATAAAAAATGTTTTTATTTTAGATTTGTGCAATGTTCCAAGTGAAACACTTTTCCACTTTTGTTTTGTTAGACTCTTACAATTCCTAGTCATATGTGCTTCCTTTAATCCTTTGTTGACTAGAAACTGGAACATGCTGAAAAGTATAACCTAAGCTGGGTAATAAATCTATAGTGGCCCCATCGCGCTTTGGAATCCTTCAAATTCCATCATTTTAATGTCTGTTGATTGTGCAATTCTAATCTGCTCTCATCTTTTAAATTGAGCACTATCATATATGAAAAGTAGAGTATATTGTTCTCCGGAATCTGATCGATGTCGCATCGGATGGTAGGATGACTCTGTCCGCCATCTCATCGCTGAGCTGCAGATACACACCGCCGACCACCTTGGAACCGCCCCCGCTCTTCTTCTTCAGCCGGAACAGGTGTCAAAAAAATTTGAAGTGGGGAATAATGCCAAGATACGCCTCGCAGAAATGCATAAACACAACAATGTGCAAGATCATGTTCGAATGCAGATTGCACAGGCTCACTCCCCAATACTCCAACAGATCCCACAAGAAATGATGCACCGGAAGTCCTAATCCGCGCCAGAAATAATCTTCAAATACTACGATTTCGTCGGTGTGTGGCATCGGATAGGGCTCACCGTCGGTCGGACGCCATCCGGCGGTGACTCGGTCAGGAAGAACGCCTGCCTCCACCATCTCGTTGAGCTCCGTCTCCCCCATGAGTGACGGCACCCATTCCTTGTCACGGCTTGCTCTGGCGGTCTTCTTCGGGTTACCACCTCCCCTCTTCGACGCCATCTCTCAGATCTAGATTGGGACTGGCGGCGGAAGCGTGTGTGAATGCGAATAGGGGAGCGTTAGGGCAAGGAGGAAGACGAAGTGGCGGAGTGACAAAGGTGTGAGCACAGAGTACGGCGATGCAGTTATAAAGGCACCCTCTCCACTTTTCGCATTCAAGGGTTTTTGAGAAACCGCACCATGATTTGTGCCTTTCCGAATTCCCCCAAGCGGCGTGGTGGGCCGTTATCTGGGCTTTCGCGCAACAGCAGCCCATATCGCCCATCTTTCGACGCAACTTGGAACTGCACACCGAATATTCGCCGACTTCTCCCCAATGTCATCAAGGCTCAGTAATTTCTACTGTACAGCCATTACTCCGGTTTTTTCTCCACAATTTGAGTATTCGACACTTCTTGATTTATCCGAGATTTTCATTTATGGCTCGGGGACTACGTCATCATTATGATTCATCTTCTCACCATACTGGGGACTTTTTGGTTACTGTTGTTTCTGACCCTGGCACCACGTGACTACGTCACCTACTGTCAGGCTCGGGGACTAAGTGGACACACTTCACCTTGCGGTGATTGTGCGCTTTTCATTTCAGGGCTCCGCCCGTGGACTGGTTGCCTGCTCGGCTGGTCTTTTGCCTTTCTTCTACTTTTTGGACCCTAGCACCATGTGACTACGTCACCTACTGTCAGGCTCGGGGACTAAGTGGGCACACTTCACCTTGCGGTGAGTGTGTTTTCTCTAATCTGAAAGACTCTGTGCCCCTTGAAGTTGAAGACGATTACCTCCCTTTCTCGTGGTCGGACTCTAAGTGGGCACACTTGGTTCACAGCGAGAAATTTTTTTATTTTAAACTTGAGCTCCTTACATCCTTATGGCAAGCCTTACTTGGGATACATTGCTCGATGACGGTTCACAACTGCTCGGTGACTCATTATAGTGGCCGGACTATGAGTCTGACTGCTCGGCTTTGTTCACACCTGCTCGGACAAATTCAAGACGGCGATGCGCAGCAGATACAAGGCGCTCGGGGACTAGCTGTGGGGGGTACGACCCCGGATACCTACGGCAGACTACATGGGCTGCGCCCCTAGGGATGGTCCAGCCCATAAGACGAAGCCTTGCGGAGCACGGAGCTGCTCGACGCCCCCACAAGACACCGGGAAGATATCCTGAAGATACTACGAGATCTGTTAGGATACGTTCGATCTTATGATTTATGTAATCTGTTATTACTTTTCGATTATCCCTTAGATCTAACCGACTTGTAATCCTATCCCTAGACTATATAAGGCAGGTAGGGACCCCCTCAAAACACAGGCAATATTATACGATCGCCAATACAAACCAACAGACCATAGGAGTAGGGTATTACGTCATGCTGACGGCCCGAACCTGTCTAACTCTTGTGTCTCTGTTGTCTTATTGTTCTTGATTACGCGCACCTCTGCCGATCAATCTACCTTCGTGGGATACCCCTCGGAGGACTGCCGAGCATCTTTTGTCGACAGCAACTGAGAATAGAAATCAGACCAAGTGATGGCCTCGAGCTGATCTTCCACCGAAGACAGCCAACGTTTGGCGTTGCCATGGAAATGCATAGTGGCAGCCTGAACCCACACAGCGGACTCGACACGATACAGCTCAAAGTAATGGATGGCTTGTTTAATCCATTGTTTTGGATGACCCCCCTCGAATCGAGGGAAATCAAACTTGGGAAGCTTGCCGGTATGGCCGCCCCCCAGAGCCCCCCTGATGGCTTGACTCATAATGACCTCCTGCGTGTGGCTGTGGTTGATGTGGTGGTGGTGGGCGTGGAGGAGGACATGGTAATGGATGAGGGGAAGGAGGATGGCAAGAAAACGTACCCTTGCCAGGAGGTGAAATTAGAGTGGTGACCACTCCGAATTCACCTTCCCGGTTCCCGATTTTGACGCGGTGCCCGTTGGGCCGAGTGGCTGCAGATCCCGTAGGTGGGCGCAGGGCAGCCTGGAAGTCGCCGAAGCCGGCGGACTTAAGTTCGGAGTGACGACGGGATTGGTGTCGTGGATCGACGCGCATGGCGACGCGGGAGCCGACGCAGACTTGGTGACGGGCGCGGTCGCGAACACCCCGGGAGTCGCTGATGGGCCATCCACCATCGAGCGTTCCATGTACTTGGAGATCTTCCCAACTTCGAGCTTCAGTGTTGCGAGCTTGTTGACCTCGATGCGAAGGTCATTGATGACGCCATCGACTCCAGGGCGCCATTCGTCGAACACCTTGGCTGCAGACTCCAAGGCATCCAGGCGGGTGGAAGACGACGCCGTTGTTGAATCGAGCTTCCGCTCCAGGCCATCGAATCGCTTCTCCTGGGCGGCGAAGCGCTTGTCGAGCTCAACCAGCAGCGCCTTCTGGTTGGGACCCATGGCACCACGGGTGCGTTGAAGACGGGTGTAGTGATCATGGGTGGAAAGGGAGGCAGGATCCAGATCGGCAGCGCACGCCACAAATTGCGACTCCGGGATTGGAATTACGGAATCCCCAAATTGAAATGCAGCTCACAGATCAGATTCGGGGTTAGACCAACCAAATCCAGTGGAGTTCTAGCAATCGATGGATTAAGGTGCTCCAGACGATCGATCGGTGCCGAGGACCAGTGTCTCTGATACCACTTGTGAGAGATAGGAGAGGGATTGGGAGGAATCGGGGAGAGGATTGGAGAGCACGGCAGGAGGAAGAAGAACAGGTGACGAAAGACGAGTGCTTAGTTTAGAACAACGGATTCAGGTTTACAATTTGATGCCTCTCTCTTACGCTCTCATCTCCTTAAGAATACAGAGGCGGGGTGCCCCGGCTCGCGCATGCAAGCGCCACTCACTTGGCCCATTCTTCTCCAGAGTACCGAGGGTTGGGCCTCCTGGGCTTCTGCCTTCTTGGGCCGGCTACTGGTGGCGGAGACATCTTCAGGAGAGCTGCTCACACAGTATTAGTGACAATTTCATCACTGGGAAAAATATATCCATAGTACTTCATAGTTCATACTCTATGGCATTCTACTTCCAACTCTTTATTACGAATTCGTATGGTACTATGGGTGGTAGGGTGTGATGCCCAGATGGAGTGACAGAGACTAGAAAAACACTAGATTGGATCGTGTTTGCCTGTGGTTAGTCTGCCAGCATGGCTGGAGCCTTGATTCGTGGGAGTGGGGTGCATCTGATTGTCCAATAATAATGCTCATTGCTCAAAGCACACAGTACCAAATGTTAAATATGCCAAAGTGCAAATGATGATACAAGTGGGGCCAGTATCAGCCTGATGCATCACCCTCAGTGGGAAATGATCCGGTGAATAGCAGGCATGTGATGATCCATGGCGTTATTACTGCTCTGCAATGCTTAGTTGTCCAAATTTGGCAAGCTTCTCTTCCTGTTTATTTCATACTTCATTTTCTTGCCAGAAATGTGCCCAACATTGGGCAACCAATTTGACGATTAGAAGAAAAGGCTGTGACAAATTTTGGCAGGGAAAATTTTGTCGGTGGGCAGTAACACTTGTTTTTTGGTTGAGTCCACTGAAGTGAATACTGCCTGTTCATGCTGATATGAGAACTCCAATTTGTTAATTTATTGACATTGTTGTGATTGATGGTTTCATGATTTTAGACTTTGGGGTGATATCTGAACAGGTCGGCAGCCTTGAGGAGGCAGCTAAAGCTAAAGAAGCTGGTGTAGATGGAATCATTGTTCAGGGGCGTGAAGCAGGGGGTCATGTAATTGGTCAGGTAATTCCAGCTGGTTTCTGGTTTCTGCTTTGTTTTAACACTGTTGGACAACCTTTCACCACCCATCTGCTTATGCAGTCATTTGTGCATTTAGAATCTTCACCATCCTGTGGAATGCAGAGCTGCATTTTGCTGCCACTATGCAGATTAGAGTAAAAATGCTATATGCAGGGCTTGATTCAACTTCCTAGCTTAGGGCCCCTGTATCTTCTTATCTCTAAAAGCATAGCATGCATTTATAGCTTGTGTCCTTTTAATTGTCTTTTTTCATGAATGTTCTCTCAATCAGTTTCTATTTGGAAAACAGGAAGGACTGTTTCCGCTGTTGCCAAGAGTAGTAGATCTTGTTTCAGATTCGGGCATTCCAGTTATCGCCGCTGGGGGAATTGTAGACGGACGTGGCTATGTTGCCGCATTGGCACTTGGTGCCCAAGCTGTTTGTTTAGGAACTAGGTAGTATCTCGGTCTCTTGTACTGAGGATATACCAAAACAGAACCTTTTCATTATAGTTTGCATAATCTTAATTTCTTATGCTTACATTACATCGGTTCTTGAACATTCAGGTTTGTTGCTACCGAGGAAAGCTTTGCACATCCTATTTATAAGCAAAAGCTAATCGAGATGAGTCACACAGACTACACAAATATATTAGGACGTGCTAGATGGCCTGATGCTCCACAACGTGTCCTGGAAACACCCTTCTATGCTGAGTGGAAGAATAATTTCCCAGATGAGGAAACAGAGGAAAATCAACCCATCATAGGCCACTCTATCATCCATGGCGTGGTATGTATTTGGATATTTTATATGCCTTGAATTTGGTCACACATTCTGAATTTAGCAGTTGCATCCATTTTTCGTGTCTTTTCTGTTCACTTGTTCTAGACAGCTGCAGAAATTATTTCATTTATTTGCAGGCTTAAATATTAAAGAACTGGAACACACAGCGTTAGACCCTTAGTAATCTAGTTGCAAAAAAGAAATGTGAGCCATATATAGTTGTAACCATGAATTGTTTGACCCGTAACTCTAGGTTGTCTGCTTGATACAATCATACAAAAAGGATATGAAATTCAGCATGCCAAAGGTTAAATAAAACAGTATAACACTTGGCAAAAAAGAGTTTGCTCCAGTTCAGAGGCCAGAAGCACAAAGCAGCAGTATATAACTGTTCACTTTTGCATCCAATATAAAGAACTGTGGCTTTGAAACTCAGGCAACCAATTTGAAATGGCTACCCTAGTTTATGGAATCCTACTTAGTTGTTATCATGCATCTGAAAATGGTTTTTCTAGTTATGCTATGATTTGGGAGGAATGGCAATCATTCTGCTAAATTCACCTCAGGACAGTGGAGGGTGGGCGGGTGGTAATAGTTGCCTGCCTTCAAACAAAATAGTAGATTATAGTGTAGAACATGCAATGATTATTGAGGTCTATGTCAGCACTCAGTTGCATCATTGGTGGCCAGACCTGATAACCTACTCGATCTAGATTTGCAGTATCTCAGCTCGGATATTCGCCATTCTTTCAACTAATAGTTGGCTCATAGTAATTAGTATATTTGCCTTTCTTTTAACCACATATTGTTTTGTTCAAAGGAAGGCAAACATTGATATATTATGCAGTTTGTAGATGATGGATCTCAGTACTGTAGTTCAGTGTATCACTTTTTTTTGATGAAAAGTTCAGTGTATCACTTATTGCAACTTCAATTGCATACTCTGTACTTGTGCATCTGAAACTAGGAAATACACAACTGACCAACAATTCCTGACCACAGCACAAGGATATTCGTCGGTTTGCCGGTACTGTTCCAAACGCCACGACAACAGGAGATATCGACATCATGGCCATGTATGCAGGTCAGGGTGTTGGGCTAATCACGGAGATCATACCAGCTTCTGAAGTTGTCAAAAGTCTGGTCGCTGAAGCAAAGGAAGTTATTAGAGAAAAGCTTTCTGGTTACCAGTAAAATCCTTCCTGAACTGCAAGTTAGAGCGTGTGAAGTATCAAGTATTTGTGAGTAGTCGCCAATAAGAATAATTGGGAGTACCAAGGTTTGTTTCTTGTGCTATTTGTAAGTAAAAAACTGGTGAAAATAAATGAGACTACCAAAGGTATTCTGTCTGCCAAAATTTTATGCTGCTATAGTGTCATGGAATACTACCTGTAATATTTTTGAGTGTCTTCACATAGAAGAGTCTGTCTACTATACAATCATGTGTTTTATGCAATTCTAACACATAAATTTTTTTTGCACCATAAGATTAAGATCCAACAGCCTCTACCCTTCTTCTACCTTCAGTCTTCTTCTACCTTCAGACAATCACAAGATTACATATCACAGGAAACAATTTTTTTTTCTATGAAAGAACAAATCACATATCCGCTACCGCAACATGTTGCGGTCGCTGCAGGTAGCCGCCGCCGGCGCCCAGGCTGCTCGCCCTCATGGCGTTGGTCCATGACAGATCGTGCATGACAGGCATCATATCTGGTCGCTCTTGCTCGCTGCTGCGGCCAGCGTCCGGCGAGCTGTCCAGCACGCGCACGCCATGGCGTTGGGGACACAAGGGGCCGAGGAGCTCGAGGTGCTGGAGTGCGATGCTGCCGAGCCAACTGTATGGCCTGCTCACCGGCGTCTTTGGCGGACAGTACGGACGCGAGTTGCAGGTGAGAAAGAGAGATAAAAAAAATCCATGTGTTTTTTATGCTAAAACACACGTGTGTTGTATAGCATTTCTGAAAGAAAAATACAAACTTTGATCTGATCTGCTGCTGCAGACATTAACGAGTGCGAGGAGGATCCTAACAAGTACCCTTGCTCTGTTCCTGGAACCTGCACCAACACTCCCGGAAGCTTCATCTGTTCTTGCCCCGACAAGACGACAGGCAACGCTTACAATGGCACATGCGAGGCAAAGAAATCTCAGCTCGGAGTGCGCGTCGCAGTTGGCGTTAGCGCAGGCTTGGTCATGCTAGTGGTCACCATGTCCTGCGTCTACATGATCCGCCAGAAGCGGAGCCTCGCCGCCGTGAAGCAGAGGTACTTCAAGCAGCACGGCGGCCTCCTGCTGTTCGAGGAGATGAAGTCGAAGCAAGGCCTGTCCTTCACGCTGTTCACCGAAGAGGAGCTGGAGGAGGCGACCGGCTGGTTTCGACGAGCGCAACGTGCTGGGCAAGGGAGGCAGCGGCACCGTCTACAAGGGGTCTCTCAGGGACGGCAGGGCCGTGGCAATCAAGAAGTGCAAGCTGGTGAGCGAGAGGCAGGAGAAGGAGTTCGGGAAGGAGATGCTCATCCTGTCCCAGGTCAACCACCGGTACGTCGTCAGGCTCCACGGCTGCTGCCTCGAGGTGGAGGTCCCCATGCTCGTCTACGAGTTCGTCCCCAACGGCACGCTCTACCACCTCATCCATGGCGACCGCCGCCACGGCGGCTCACGCGTCTCCTTCGCGACGCGCCTCAAGATCGCGCACGAGGCCGCCGAGGCGCTCGCCTACCTCCACTCCTGGGCCTCGCCGCCGATCATCCACGGCGACGTCAAGTCGCCCAACATACTCATCGACGAGAGCTACGCCGCCAAGGTGTCCGACTTCGGGGCCTCGACTCTGGCGCCCACGGACGAGGCGCAGTTCGTCACGTTCGTGCAGGGCACCTACGGCTACCTGGACCCGGAGTACATGCAGACCTCCAAGCTGACGAGCAAGAGCGACGTGTACAGCTTCGGCGTCGTGCTCCTGGAGCTGCTCACGTGCAGGAAGGCCATGAACCTCCAGTCGCTCGACGACGAGGAGATCAACCTCTCGGCGCAATTCCTCCACGCCATGGGTGAGAAGAGGCTCGATGAGATACTGGACGAACAGATAAAAGGCGAGCAGAGCATGGAGCTGATCGAGCAGGTGGCGGAGCTGGCGAAGCGGTGCCTGGAGATGGCGAGCGAGAAGAGGCCCTCCATGCGGGAGGTTGCGGAAGAGCTCGACAGGGTTAGGAAGCTGTCGCAGCATCCCTGGGGCAGCCAAGAAGAGACTTGTGATGAGGAGGAGCTCAAGGCCTTGCTTGTCGGATCACCAGGGACAGGGACGTCCTCTGAAATAGAACCTAGTATTAGTACTAATGCGTATGTTAGCATGACAGATTCAGCCTATTTAGGGATTCGATCTCCACGATGAGTATCTTTTTAGTTTCCTTAGAATCACTTGTTTTGTTTGTTCAATCTCCACGATAGCATCAATTATCCCCGGCCCCTAGAATCATTTATTTTCTTTGTTCACTGCTTCACTTAGTAATGGGTAACACTAAAAAGCTACTAGTAGTCTTTCTTTCTCCATCAATGTAAAAAAGATAATAATTTCCTTTATTCTGTTTTACTGATAGTGAAAATCCCATAATAATACCCCCTTTATTTCAAATTATATTTCAGTTTGATTTTTTTTGTAATTCAATCTTTCTAAAATATTGACTGAATTTTGCAGCAAGATGTACTTGTATTATTTTCAAATACCCAAAATCAACATAGAAAAAGTTATAATATAAGTTTGAACAAATAACTTAGAATAATCTCCAAAGATCACTTGTTTGTGATTTGAGCCCCCGCCCTCCCCTAAAAAAAATGCAATCCGCGCCTCACGAGAAGTCATACAATTTTAATTCTGACCACTTCTATAAGAAAAAAGTATTAATATTTTTTTATATCAAACAAGTATCATTGGATTGGTTATGAAGTATATTTTTATGGTAAATCTATTTGGAGATATAAATATTGATACTTTTTCTACATATGAAATAGATTAGTAAACTAAAATTGCATTATTTTGGGGGACGGAGGGAGCATTTTGTGCTTGTATAGAATTCTATGCAAACTCACACAAAAACGTGCCACTGATTAAGCATCGCCGGCTGTCCAAGTGTCACCGGGCTTTCCTCTTTCTTGGGCTTCACTGGGCCTCATTCGGCTTCATGGAGACTTTTGGTTTAGAACATGTGGGATATGCACGTGTAGATGGAGTTGGACGAAACTGTTAAACCAATGTCAACCGTAACAGCGTGTAACCGCGGCGTACCGAAAAACCGTGGGCTCTCTTGTACGTAGATTGTAGAATGCGCAGCTCGTGTGGGCTGTGTTTGTTTGTTGCGTCTCCTTGCCACTGGGTGCGTGTTTAGTTCGTCAATTTTGGGAATTTGGTTACTGTAGCACTTTCGTTTTTGTTTAGCAATTAGTGTTCAATTATGGACTAACTAGGCTCAAAACGTTCGTCTCGCAATTTATAACCAAACCGTGCAATTAGTTTTTTTTCGTCTACATTTAATGCTCCATGCACGTATCAGAAGATTCGATGTGATAGCTACTGTAGCACTTTTTAAAAAACTTTTTTGGAACTAAACCAGCACTGGGCTAGCTTTTGCACGCGACCACAGTTGGCCAGTCTCAGTGTAGCTTTTCGGCCTTTTCTGCTAACAAAAGAGAGTGAGTGAGAGGCATGATGAGCGGTGGGATCGAAAGGGAACCTGGGAACGGCACGGCCATCTCCACCGTTCGAGATTTATGCTGTGGTTAAAAAAAAACCCGATGCTAGCTAGCTTAGGTTAATAGGGGCGTTCAGCCAAAACAAAATCCGGCATTGAGCACGTAGTACTGACAACAGAGTGAACTGACACCGTCGTCTGAACGAACATCTTCGTTGCAATTGCAAGCTACTAGAAAGTTACTACTTTCTATCTAGAGTCTAAAGACGTTACGGTCCACTGCTAAGCTGGCCGCGCCGTAGTTTAATGGTGGGTTTTGAGCGCAGTCAAAATCATATCACATCGCTTTGGGTTCTTTAATTTCCTGCCTCGTGTCGACGTCGTATTTTCTTCCTTAATTAGTCCAGCGCATGCGCTACGGCACACTAGTTTTTCTGCAAACCAAGCATCACATCATATCACACCAGCTATGTTATCACATTCACTTTTGAACCTTCCGACACTGTATATATAATATATAATAATAAATCGATCCGGCGGCTATATAGTCTCTTGCATTGGGGGCTTAGCTAAGACTTGCTTTGACTTCGTCCATGGACTTCCACCACACGTGCAGTGGGGATAAAAGTTGAAACAAAACTAATTACAAGACCTCGTTTTTCAAGGTTTTTTTCCATGTAATTTTAGGATAAATAGGAAACGAAATATAATCACACAGTTAACAAAATGATAAGAAAAATATAGAAGCAAATCAATTTTGTCATTTTGTGACATTCTTATCGTTTTCGAAATTTCCCATATTTTTACGAATAATCTTTTTCAGATGTTTTAACCTAGTTCTAATAGCATCGTTCTCTCTCTTTTTTCCAGAAAAAGGGATTTTTCTTTTTACCTTGCTATAAGCTTATTTAGTTTGTCACACGCCCTACTTTGTGACAACTGAAAGTGATATGTTCAGATAATAGGGGGAATCTGTGGTCTTAGTCACCAACTATATCCCTAGGGAATTTCATGGCTTCTAGATTTAGAGAAAGTCATTAGGTTACATGGATAGGATGGTGATAGTAGTGAGGGTGTCACAGGCCACAAGCAGCAGAAATATAGCCAGACGTGTAGCGCTAAGATGGGTTCCCCGTATCTCAAAGGCTTCTTATATACTTTCGTATTGATACGGATAGAGATTTTGGTGAAGACTCCACTGTCAAATCTGGAGAGGAGGACGGACTAGGGAGTTTGCCTTGGCATCTTGATAAGGGTCTATTTGGTTGGTTGCTAGCTAATTAAAACTTGCTGCGCCACATTTTAGGCATGTGTGTTTGATTTCACATCATAAGTGCCATTTTCGGACTTTTCTTACCGATGTGTCTAGCATACAATTGACTAATTTGTTTTGTAAAGTTTTGTTCTAATTTAAACATGTATACCTTTGATCATTAATTTGAAAAAAAATATATAAATGTTAACAGCATAAGATTTATGTTTTTAGAATATTTACTATGACATATAATACAGACACAAATATATCTTATGGATTGGACAATGGAGCAAGAACAGGGATGGAGAGACGGACGCAGGAAGTCCGATCTGTCTGTTTATTTACAAGGGTGTCGGTTGGTGAAGCCACGGTGTTAGACTATATGAACTAGCAGTTGTACTTTACTATCAGAACTCTCCTAGCTAGTACACACACGTGACACGTCGGTCGGTTGGGCGAAGAATTTGTACACTGGCCATGCACAGATCTGCAGATCGAGCTTGTGCTTGCAACTATGAACTATCTATAGCTAGCTAGTATCTGCATCATCTAGCTCTTTCGATCGAGAGAGAGAGATAAAGAGAAAACAGGGAGAGAAGGTAACTATCTACAGCTAACTACTCGTCGTCGTAGCTGTCGTCGTCGTCATCCTCATCCATGTCGACCGTGAGCTCAGGGCCAAGATATGGCGCCCCGGCGACGGTGAAGCCCTCGGGCAGGTCCGTCTCTTCCAAGACAGCGAAACCCGGGAGAGACGGGACGGGGACGTTGGTGAAGTAAGTAGAGGGGCGTCCGTGGTCCTCCGAGTATGGCGGCGTGAGGACGTCGAGGATGGCGCAGGGCGTGACGCCGGTGAAGGCGTGCAGGTTGCCGCCGCTGCGCGGGAAGAGCACGGACGCCTGGCAGGGCGCGCGGCGCACCACGTCCGCGGCCACCACCCTGGCCAGGCCACATTTCCTCCTCGACGGCGACGGCGAAGGCGCGGCGACCCAGTCGTAGGAGCGCACGCGCACGGAGCCGTACAGCAGCTTGCTGAGGACCACCATCTCCGGGTGGTCGTGCAGCGGCAGCGTCGCGCCGGCCGGGAAGCAGAAGACGCCGATCTGAAAGCAGGCAACACGCCGGGACGGGATCAGTATTCAGTACAAGCACAACACAACACAACCCAACCGACCACAAGCTCGATCCGCCGCGCGGCTACACAGCAGCCCCTGCTTACCGAGAAATCGTCGCACTGGTGTATGTGCACGTAGGTGATCTGCGTGAACGCCGGCGCCGGCAGGAGGCGGCTGCCGCTCTTGGGGCTCAGCTCGTCGTCGGACGAGGACGACGTCGGCTTCTCCCCGTCGTCGATCCCGACGTCGGCTGCCTCCATGCCATCTGAACCAAAGGAAAACATTTATGAGTCGTCTTCATTCACCAGCCGGCGAACACCAGGACGCATGCAAAAAGAAGAAATGAAGCCGAAGCAAGGCATAGGCACGACAGAAGTAGTGAACTGACCAAGGATGTTCTGCAGCCATCTGATCTCCCCGACCGTGGGCGCCGCCGCCGGCGAGGAGAAGACGACGTCGCAGGCGTCGTAGAGCCGCTGCACCTTGCTCAGCGCCATGATGTGCGGCGGGAACGCCACGGCCATGGTGAGTGAGTGAGTCCCTGCAGGTCGTCGTGTCGATCGCGCCCTGGAGTCTGGAAAGTGGAAATTGGGGGCTGCGTCGCACTGCTGGATCGGGCCCGGATTATAAAGCTTTGGCATGGCATCGCGTGCGTACGTGGTGCGCCGTGGGTGGTCTGGATGCACATTCTGGCATTGCGCGACCGCCCAAACCCCAAACGGCCAAACCGTGGGCCTCGCCTGCTTTTTCCAGGGGCCCGAGCAACCCAAGTTTGCGGCCGTGCCAGCCAGCCAGGCAACCCAACCCCAGTGCACTGACTGCCCTGCTGTTTCTGACGGACGGCGCTGCCTGCGTTCGCTCGCCCCCCCCCCCTTTTTCCCTTCCTTACAGTAATTAACTTAAGCCCTGTTTAGATCCCACCCAAAATCCAAAAATTTTCAAGATTCTCTGTCACATCAAATCTTACGACATATGCATGGAGCATTAAATGTAGGTAAAAAGAATAACTAATTGTACAGTTTGCCCGTAATTGACGAGACGAATCTTTTAAGCCTAAATAGTCCATAATTAGACAATTTTTGTTAAATACAAACGAAAGTGCTACAATAGCCGACAACCAAAAATTTTCGCATCAGTAAATAAAACAAGTTGCTGCACGGAACTTGTGGCCTGTGTTTGGTCGCTTGGGATCTCGACAGCGTCCTTATTGGGGTTCGGGTTTTGTACATGTAGCCGTAGTGTCGCCCACTTGATATTTGATACTGCCTTGTTTTATTCTGTTTCCGGAATGGTTTAATGCTACTAGCCTAGTAGTACCACCGTGTTAGCAAAGTTT